CACGCACGCACACAAACACACGCGCACACACACACACACACACACACAGACACACCACAGAAGCAGATACAAACATGTAAGAGGAACCTTGTTCTAAACAGAGAGTATCAACAGTGTGACACAGTTAACAGAAAAAGGTAGGTAAAAGAGTTACAACTCAGGGTCGTGTGTTCAGAGAAAGTCTCTGTCATCAGGATGAGTGAGTTTTGTAAATCAGGTCCATGGTGCTGTTACTGTAGGCTCAGAGAAATGCAAGGCACTCTTCCAATGCTATGGGTATTGGAAGAGAGAGGGTGAAAAAGTGGCATTACATATTGGTTTTCTGAATCTTTTTGTCATTGATTGGTTGCAGTTTCAATGGTAACCTGAGCGTCTCAAAAGTTAAACTATTTTACTCTCTAACATTTCAGTTCTCGTGCTCCCGAAGAACATGGTCGTGATCTCGTCATAAAGGAAAAACTGTCTATCGTCTTGGATCTGATACCCGATCAATGTGTCCAGCTACTCTGGTTGCATTTCCAGCAGCTTAGTGGTTCTCATTGTAGTTTTGCCTGGAAATATCCAGCGTGACATCATGTTGCTTATAATTAGCTTGACCGCTTATCCATGGGAATACATTACCAAGTAAGACTGGCCTAGAAAAGTACAGTGCCAGTATTGTTTTTTAATAGTGCTAGAGGGCTTTATGGTGGACTGGGGTCAGAAGTGATATCAATAGTTGGTTCTTAAGGTATTTATGGACTCATTTAGTACAAGTAATATGCTCATTTATTTTATTTATCTTGACAAGCATCGCCACAAAATAAAATATGTTGGCTAAAGCTCAGATATAGAGAGATTTTTCATTTTTTCCCCTTAAATTTGCCATTATTAAAATAAATGTTAACTCCTCTGTGCAGATCACTGTTTAAATGTCATATTGGGCCTTGTGGCTGTAGGCGTGCATATGTACTAGTGGAGTGTACCACAAGAACAACAACAATAAGAATAATAAACCAATTTTTCTAACTAGTTAAGTAGCAGCCACTTCCTTCTCCCAGCATGGTTCATTGGAAGTGACAGCTCATAAAGCAGGTCTGACTAATCAGATAGCTTGGACCAAATAATATGTTGTAACACTGAGAGTCCTAAAGCTTTCTTTTCCCCTTACAGAGGAAATACACAGAGGAAAAGGTGGAAGCATTGTTAACAAACTGTGCGTCATGCTCCGTAAATCTTTTACAAATTGTGTAGCGGTTGTGTGTACATACATGTGTCTTTGTGTGTGTATGTTTATGAGTCAATCCTTTTTTGTGCTCTGACTCAGCCTTTACCAGAAGATGGAACTAACATCGCTTATGGTATTACATACTTTGGGTTGCTATCATCATTTCCTGCACTGATTTTTCTGCAGCACTTATTGCTCTCTTGGTCATACAGTAGGTAAAAGCTTTTTAAAGAGCTAAATCTTCTCCAATGGGCTGACTTCACTCTTCCACTCCATTCCTGACTCCTACAGCCTTTTGCACAATTTATGTTGTAGTTATGTCATGGCTTAAAAAGAACACTTTTCAACCTGTCCGATGTCCTTCAGCAACAACAACTCCCTATCAAGACACAAATGGATCATTAATATCAGAAAAGGAGGACACAGACTTATAGTTTATGTCATGGAAAGAACAGTCTAGTTGTATAAACTGTGCTGCAGTGTTTCATTTGGCTCACAATACCAAGTCTTTCAAATCAACATTAATTAACATTATAAAGCAAAAGTTAATCAATTAATTATGAACGTAATAGTCAAATTAATTGATAATGAAAATAAACATCCATTTGAGCAGCCCTAAGGCATAGACACTTACTGGTGATACAACGATGGCCAAATGAGTCCTGAAGTGACTCTGCTGTGCTGCAATCCCCTCACATAGGTCCTCTTTTAACAGAGGCAATGACGAATACCGCGACTACCGGTACACCGAATGAAAGTATTTTCTCACTTTGTTACTTCCAACCTTTGATCTTCCTCATTATATTGACCCATAAACAATCTGCTTTTTAAACCAAACTTAACTTTTAGCTAAATCTAAGTCCCCATCAGTCACGTTACCCTCATTGTGTTCAACCTGATCCCCAACGAGCTCAGTATTGTCTGACATTGTCACTACAATGTACAGTACAGTATACTGTAAACAAGTAAAAGCAATAAATACTCATGACTGTGAATCCACAGACTTCACAAACATTTGAGGTATGAAGTTCTTCTGCGTGATGTATTGAACACGTTCCCACAGTGACGACACACATTACATGCGACTGCTAACACATGTGCAGGAGCCAGGGTGTCGGCACGGCCGTGATGACATCACGTCATTGCCACATCATCACATCATGACCAGCGCCCATGCTTTGATGATGTCACAACATAGACAGCCAATCCTGGACCAGCTCCAGTGGGTATGGGGAGCCAATGAACTGCAGCTGTTTAAAAGGTCATGACCCCCGCCCACCCAGATAGGCAAGTTCAAAGTTCAATCAGGCCAACTCGGTAAGCTCTAACTAACACAGACACACACACA